TCGAATTAACGTTGAACCAACGTCAGACACGTCATTCTTTCAAAACTAACGGAAAATCAACTTGAAATCAACGCGTTGTTTCAACGTTATGAAAGCAAACCAATTTTCGATTTTCATTTAGCTTTGAAGAATGCCGCGTCTGACGTTGGTTCAACGTTAATTCGATGAGCAAAATCAACGTTGTTTCAATGTCATGAGAGACGTCGTTTCCACGTTGATTCAATGTCAGTTTGCTGTCTGGGTATCCGTTAGCATTCCCATTAATCTCAATGAGATTTATTTGCCCAAACCAGTTAAGCGCAAACTCCACCGCACAGCTGATTCTGAAGATTTCATGGGTCATGTCAGACAGTCACAGTGCTAACCCATGCTAACCCCTCACCTTAACCATAGTGTCGCCAGCACATCTGATAGATTGAGCATTACTGTTTGTCACAATCAGCTCCGTCCAGGTTTTTTTCTGATGAAGTCTGAGCCCTTGTTTAAAGATGAAATCTGCTGTGGGCTGGAGTCACGCTTTACTGGATAGGGACAAAACACCATGCATAATATCAGGGACAGTTTGTGACCTGCATGCAGACTTTTGTTTATAGGCACCCAATTCTGGACTTTTTTTTTTTGAGCCAATCACCTGTGGTGTAAGTGTCATGTGATAGTGTCAGCTATCCTGAGCTGTGACATCAAAGACAGCAGGCAAGTGAAAATATAAGTCATAAAATAATGGAAATGTGGTCATGGCATCTAACAGTAACTAGTTTGACGCTTGACCACTGTGTTAATTCGCGCGTCAAGAGTGAAATTGACGCGCATAAAAACAAAAGTTTGAAGCGAAATTTACACGCGTCACGCGTTTCAGAATCGAAACCCGTTTGGCGGCCATCTTTGTTTATGTTGATCGAGCATTTATCGATAGCACGTCAAATTCGCGCCTGACGCGTCTAGTTTCACACTTGACCACTTTGTGTTAATTCGCGTGTCAAGAGTGAAACTGACGCGCGAACTGTAAAAACAAAAGTTTGAAGCGAAATTTACGCGCGTGACGCGCGTCAGAATCGAAATCTGTTGGCGGCCATTGTTTTTATGCCGACCAAGCATTCATCGAGAGAGTCACCGCTCTGTATTTACTCTGGAGAGCAGAACAGCGGCGTGGGGATCATCGTCGCTGTATTTGTGTCCTCCGGACCCTTCGGAGGCGAACCGTTTGGCGAGTTTCACCATTTGCTCGCTCCAGGAGCTGCGCTGGATGACGGCCGCTGTCAGCGGTACTTCCGCCTGTCCCGCGCCCAGTTTGATGACCTGTTGTTCCGCATCGGAGCGAGGATCACCCTCGCCCTCATCCACCAAATCTGTCATTTGTTTTTGTAGAGCCGGCCTTCAAAAGTTATTAACCTGTCCTGTGATTTTTTCTCTCTCTCACGTCCAGACATGAACTTATGCACATGTATGTTGGTTGTCTTTACATCATAATACTATTTCATATAATCTAAATATGGAATGAATAACATTTAATATAAAATAAAATGTCTCGTATATAGAAATAAAGTTTTAAGTGATAAAATATTTGCTTTGTTGTGCATTAGAACCACACCAGGCATTTAGTCATATTACAAAATCATTTATTGAAGCATCCAGATCCTTCACAATGTGAGCAAGCAGCTAGGCTCCTGATTGGTTAATGCGGCGCGAATTCACGCCAAAGTTCAGTTTTTTCAACTCGGGCGGCAGTTGCGAATTCGCCTCAAACGCGTGAATGCACAAACAGCGTCTTTGCATTGACTTAACATTGAAATCATTCACGCCTGACGCGCTATTTGCATCCGGTATGAACGCACCATAAGGGTTACCTGAGCATAACCAGCTAAACCTTGACCTCCTGGTAAACTCTACTGGAGTCAACCAACCCGATCTCAAGACCGTTTCGTACGAATTTTACAAATTGAGGGATAGACTGCATTTATATAGCATTTTAACTGACCACCAAAGCACTTTAGCACTCGTCAGGAGCAGCTAGGGGGTTAGGTGTCTCTCTCTCACACACACACACACACCTGAGGTTAGGTGTCTTGCTCATGGACACCTCAACACTTGGTCAGGTGGAACCAGGGATTGAACCACCAACCTTCCGGTTTGTATGTAGACAACCTACATGAACCACTGAGCCACAATTAGCCTACATACAAGGTCGTCGTACAAATTCATATGACCTCACTCGTACGTTTTTGCTAAATCATACATATTTTATGAGTTGCCCAATTCCTATCCCTGATCCCTAAACCTAACCATCACTGGGGTTTAGAGAAATCGTACCAATCATACCAATCAGCCACATTTTACTTGCTCGTAAGAATTCGTACAAATTGGTCGTGAGATAGCTGTGTGTTTAACGTGAGGAGCAGAGAGGAACTTCACTGGGATGCTGCCTTAGAAGACGGTTGCCTATGTAGACAGCAGAGAGCGAGCGTTTGTGGGAGGAAAGATAGAGTCAACAGAGAGTGAGACAGATGGGTGAAGAGGGAAGGAGAGGCACATTACGCTATAAAGTAAAGCAAAAGGATGAATTAAACAAGCTCAAGCAGCAGTAACGAGCAGCGTGATCATTAACAGCTCTAAACATCACCCTCAGCCTCGAATGGGAACGAGCAGATGAGGTAATGGGGTGTCATTCACATAAACAAGGATTTATGCAGCCATAAAGTAAATAAGGCATATTCAAACGCACACAAACAGTCGTGCAATAACTCTACGTATGCAGCATCTGAGGAGAGAAAACTGGCTGATGATCGTGTACTTAACATTTTAATTTAGGAGCATAACATAACACTTCCCAAACACTCCGGGATGAATTCGTTTCACACTTCTGAGAGAAGCACTTCAGACCCTGCATCTTCATGAAAAAACGTATTCGTAATTCATAAGTCTTATGATCTTAGATAATTGCTAAATTCTTGTTTTAAAATGTTTAGATACAATTTTTGCATTATTACAGCGCACAAGAAGCAGGTGGCAAACAGACTCTGATGTTTATTAGTGTTTTCCGCTGATGATTGATGACAGCGTTGGGTATGAGTGTTATGAGCAGTTATTATATTCAGATCTGATTGCGGCGAGTGTGTGTGTGCTGGCAGGGCGTACGCAAGATCGTGTTGGTCCACTGAATCCTCCAAACCCAACGCTCAGATTAATCTAGCTTCTTTTATTTTGGCACTGATATCCGATTTACATAATTCATTTTCTGAATCGGCTGCTAAAACAACACAGGCAGCATGTGCAAATACGTGACACTCCAAGAGTAATTCATTTTTGTGTGTACATTACCTGCTTATAAACTTATCATTGCATTTTTTGGCCTTTCCTACCTCTTTATACACTACCTCCCCCCCGAAAAAACACCCAGATACTTAAGGGTCTATATACAGTACACTCCTAAAAGAAATGGTTCTATTTAGAACCAGAAATGGTTCCATCCCCCGCTTCATATATGGAACTCCAAAATGGTTCTATATAGAACCATTTTTTTTTGGTAAAAGGTTCTATTGGTCAAGTATGGAACCCCAGGGTTCTATATAGAACCCAGAGGAACCTTTTTTTAAGAGTGTATAGAACCTTTTAGGGGTTCCAAATATGTAGCGCTGATAGAACCTTTTAAGGTTCTATATAGAACCTTTTCGGTAACACTTTACAATACGGGTGCACTAATATACATTAATTCATGCTTAACTAATGCACTGATAATCATGAGTTAATGTATAACTAATGAAGAACTAAACCATTAATTAATGATTACTGCATTAGCAACTAATAAAGAGTCTATATGATTAAAAGATTAAGTATTACATGAATTGCTATTAATTCAATGTGTCATTGTGTATTAATTCCTTAATAACATATTTTATTAACTAATAGTGTTAATTAATTCAATTAAATTAATGTGTCAAAGCTATGCACTTCAACTTCCAGTTGTCTGCTTTAATTAATCATTAGCTAATGATTTGCAAAGGTATCATTATGTTATGACTTTACTTGATGGGCCACATCATTATTAACTAGTCATTTAGTAATTGTAGTAATTTGCACATGAATTTGCAGTAACAATGAAGTAATTAATCATGTATTAATGCATATTAGTGTAACTGTCATATTATCTGGAAGTTGAAATACAAGGCTTTGGCTCATTCTGGTAATTAACATATTAATTAACACTATTAGTTAAAAAAATGAGTTATTATGGAATTAATCCACAATTAAATATTCAATTAATAACAATTCATGTATAAACTAATACATTAAGCCTACAGACTCTAAATTAGTTCCTAATGTGGTAATCATTAATGAATAGCTTAAATAATCATTAGTTACACATTAATTCAGTATTATTTGTGCATTAGTTAATTAATGCTTATTAATGCACCCGTATTGTAAAGTGTTACCACCTTTTCTTCTAAGAGTTTGGATCATTATTGCATTGCTTATACTGTATGTGTCTAGCATTTTATGTTTGGCAACAGTTCTTCTAACCCAAAATGATGGCGTATGTAGCTTTTCATTTCTTAGACAACCCAGTAGGAAGACGCATCATGGCCATATTCAGGAGGACAATGTCTAGATTCATCCGGCTCAGATTGTGAAAGAGTGGTTGTGAGGAGCATGAAGAATCATTGAGTCCAGATCTTAAACTCAGGGAAAGTCTTTTGGACAGAGTGCTTTGTCCATAAATGATCTTGACCAAAAATGTATGCACCTCTTGAAATAATTTTGGTCAAGATCTTGTATTGACATTGTCATGCTGGAATATGGCCAGGAATAGTGTGCAAAGCTACACACTCCATCAATTAGGGTTAGAAGAACTGATGCCAAACTATAACATGCAAGAAACAATAATAATCCAATCATAGACTCTTAAGCATTTGCCTATTTAAATCCAAATAGCAACTTTTTTTGCTGGGCAGTGTATCAATGACATGCTCACAGATATGTGATGCAGAGTGTGTGTGTGTGCTCACCTGTATGGCATTGGTGACGTTCCAACCCGCCTCCCATGTAGTGATTTTGGTCCGTGTGCTGGGAGCGCCGTCCTCCATGTTGTCTGGACTGGAAGCCTGAGAGTCTCCATACGTCTGAGCCAGCTCATCCCTCTCCACCAATCCTCGGTTCTCCTCAGCATCCGCACGGAAGTGCTTCATCCAGAGAGCCTCCGCATGGCTCTTCACCCACGAAAGCTGGAAACGGGACATTGCTCAGCCACTCAATGAGGAACGAGTGCACTGGAGAGCAAAACTGCTTGGCTTTCACACCTTAACCTCACACGAAGTGTCTCCATCCCGCCAAACTGGACTGACGTCCATCAGGACTGTGGCAGTGTCCGGCCGGATGTCAGTCTGAGCACCGCGAGCGCATAACCCAGATCCGGGCCATCGAGCCTGTGAGGAGAAACTGGCTTTGCATCCATTTTAAATTGGGCAACAGCAACACAAGCGTGTGGAGGACTGACGGGCCGATGAACTGAAACATTATAATCACTGACAGCCTATAGATGTGTGTTTAGAAAAGGTCATGCTTTCCGTTTTGTCCAAATGAGGACTGTGTGCTTTTGGTGAATAATTTGTGAGTCCAACACTAGAGGGAGCAGAGAAAGTCCAGAAACTCTCATTCTTCTTCTGCATGGGGAAAGATCTGTCCCGATACTGTGAGTTATCCTCCAGACACTGTCCCAACTAGCCTAACCGAGTCTGAACACAGGGTTTGTGAGCTCCCTTCCCAGCATGCATCACAGCATAAATATATATATATATATATATGCACTCATTGGATTTAGTTGCTGTCCCTCTTGTTGAAAATTAGTTCATTAGTTCAAACCATGCGTATATCGTTCTGAACCTTTATGACTTTTTTTCTTCTGTGGAACAAAAAAGATGACGTTTTGATCACTCTTTACAATACAATAACAAGGACCTTTTCATCTTCAAAAAGCTGCATAAATGTTATGCAATTATCATTAGTGATCCATGTTGTGTTGTTTTAGGTCTTTGTTATTTATAATAGTATTTAATGATTTTTCGTACATTTTCATACATACATTCAGTATTTAATGAATGAGTATTAGAATTTTCACATTTAATCATTAAAACTATTTTGCAACCCAAAACAATGCAAAAAAAAAAAAAAAAAGAGTGGGAAAGGCAACGTAAAATATCTTTACTTTACCGCTGTTACCTACACTGTAAACAATACTCCTGTAAAAAAAAAAAAAAACGGTAAACAACAGGCAGCTGTGGTTGCCAGGATCACGGTGTGTTACTGTTTTTGAAATTCACAGCTAAACAGTAACACACCGTATTTTCCCAGCAAACACAGAACGTTCCCCTAACGTTCCCGAATGGTCCCATGAGGTTATTTTTTGGGGAACCAAATAATGAACATTATAGGAACGTTCCATGTAGGTTATTTTTAGGTTCCATTTTTTATAAGTAAAGAGAATGTTCCGGGAACGTTCCCTTAACCTTAACCTGGGAACCAAAAACTAACGTTCCCAGAACCTAAATTTGTTTGCTGGGATGATGCTGGCAGCCACAGCTGTTAGTGATTTACCTGCTTTTATTTTACAAGAATTATTTTTGTCAGTACTACAGTTTAAAGTGCTGCTTGGTTTTATTTGGCTAGAAAATTAAATGTATAGGCGAATATCTAAAACATAACAATAATAAAAACTATGCCAGAATTGGTAACAGGGATATCGATTTATCCAAAACTGGGAACAAATGTAATTTGTTGAATTAAGTGAAATATTTTGAGCCACTTAATCCATTAAAAAGTATATGGAGTTGAGAATATTTCAATATGTATTCCAAATATATTGATTTTGGAGATCATTTCTCCAGATAGGAAGTTTTCCTGGAGAGGAAACGCAGAGGAATGTGAGCTCGGAACGGGACGCCCCCTCCTCAAAGCGCCCGGGATAGGAGGGCTCTGCCAGACCAGCGTCCCAAACTTCCCAAAGTCACTGGAGGAGTTCCTGAAGGATTCTGGACGGCTCCTGGTGTTCGGCCGAGCGCTCATGAACAACAGGCAGATTGGGACATGAGCACACCTGGTTTCCTCGTGCTCGTCGGGCTGCTGTGGCGGAGTTGTGGAGCTCAGCAGAGAGGTGAGTGGATCTACGGATCTCTCTTGCGTGTGTGTGTGTGTGCGCGCGCGCGCGCGCGAGCAGCCAGCGGGGTATGAGCGCGCATTACGCGTTCTCCGAGTTCATGTGGCGATTTACGCGCCTGATTTTTGTTTCATAGTGAAATAAATGGCTCTGTAATCCGGTCTACTGGCAGACATCAAACGATGCTATTTGTTTTCGGTGTGCCCAAAATTTGCTTCTGCTATCGAATAGACTGTGTTTCATATTTAGTGCACAGGCTATGTTGTTTGTTTAAAACCTTTTAAATCATCATTATATAATAATGAATTATTATTTGGTTTGCCCTGTGCTTTCTATTTAACCTGTTTGCATATGTTTGCCTTTGACAATTTCCCCTTCAGTCTTAAGTATTTCTTTAGTAGTACATTTAATCGTTTTATAAATTGGCTTAAAAGTTCCACTCTGTTATGCAAAAAAGTCGCAGTGACAATTTTGATTGGTCACAAAGCATACGATTATTGACAGTGAACAATGTGTGGTGTGATGATCTAAGCCTCTTTATAAGCCTTTTAGTCGTTTTTGCGCCGATCTTCAACCCTGTTTGATTGGAGTCACAATGCCTCGAACTTTTATAATTATTATTATTTTTTAAATATACTTTCATCACTATAATGTTTGATTAAGACATCTGAGAAACTGAGTGACACTACCAGAATGTACATGCACTTTAATGAATTTACAGTAAATTACTGTAGTGATAAATTTACAGTGAAATTAATGCATGCTGCTTCATTTTCTTACGAATTACTGAGAATTTACATGATAAAGTTGTCTTTAACCATCTCACTGTAAGAAATTAAATTGTTTAGGCCTGTAATTGTTTTGAAGTCACCATTATGGTGATTATTGTTTCATTAGCTTTGGATCTAGCCAAGTCAGAAGTGTGACAAATGAAAACATTTGTTAAAGCAATGACAAGCTAGAATTAAAAATACGCTAATTAGCTGATTTTAAGTCAGTCATGCTATTATTAGCACTATTTCAGCATAAAAAAATTGACCAATATCTTATTTGAAATGGGTAATTGTTTGTAGATGCCGTCTCTAACATGCAGTGATCTTCAGCTTTCTAAAACAAGCTTTCTTCACTGCAGAGCCCTTGAGGAAAATCAATTTGTGAGCATCAATGCAGGGCCCATGCGGTGGCCTTTAACATCACGCCGCTTGCGTTATTGTTTCATTTCTTCAATGCCTGAGTCTTCCCGAGATGCTTGTGAGAATGATATTTGTTTAGCGTTTAACGAAGCAGAGGCGATTAACACAGAAAAGGCTTGCGTGGAGCATCTCTCAGTTGACTCATGTGCACATTCACATTCATTTGTGCCATCAACAGGTGTGTGTGGCAGCTAAAAGCAGATGTTGGGAGTATTTTTAGCAAAGGTAGAGCAGGAACAGAGGATGTTAAGTATTGTCTCTGGATCCTCTCACTGACGACACAGGCGAGAGTTTGAAAAGAGTGTGATGCTGAAAAGAGTGCATCGGTCACAGTGAGAAGGTCAATCACTCCTGCAGAAACCTGTCTGATAATGATCAATACACCAGTCGCAAGTTTACAGTCATGACGATTGCTTTAAGACTCTCTTCTACACACCGAGGCTTCATTCAATTGATCAAAAAAAAAACTGTGAAAATACATAGTAAAGTGTAATTTATTCCTGTGATCAAAGCTGATTTTCCAGCATCATCACTCCAGTCTTCAGTGTCACATGATCCTTCAGAAATCACTGGATCTGATGATCAAGAAACGTTTATAATTATTATCAGTGTTGAAAACAGTTCATATTTTTGTGGAAACTTGATAGATTTTTATTTTTCAGGATTCTTTGATGAATAGAAAGCATTTCTTTAAAATGATCTCTTTCGTAACATGTCTTTACTGTCACTTTAAGAATGGCTGAATTAAAACTATTCATTTCTTAGTGTGATAATGTGGACGCATTGAGAGAGAGAGAAGCTTCTTTGTGGCTATTATGCACGTTCAGGCTTTGTCTCTGTAATACCTCTGTCAGAAAAAAAGAGAAAGATTTCAGAATGCTTGAGGAGGAAAATCAATAGGTAATTCCACAACGCCGCCAATGAATGGCCCGGACCGATCGGGTCTGACTTTATCCTGGTCACCGCTGATGAACAGATGCACAAGTACGCTCTGATGGATTGTTTTCAATGTTTTACCGATTGCTTGACGTTGATTTGCCAGCAACACGAGCGGCCTCTGGGCTTATTTCTGTTTGAGCAGAGAATGCTTTGAGTATAATGACAGAGAGATTAATGTGGTTTGATATTTCCAACACTCCTCTGTTGAGGCAGCATGTGGTTGACGGGGTTGAGGTGAGCTGCTCAATATTTCACACACTGCAAATGTAGAGTTTCATTTGTTCTCTGAAGTACACAATGCTCTCAGACAGAAAACAGACTGAGCACGAGTAGTCACTGGAGCAGAAGCTTTAAAAGATCACCTCTGTACATTATTTACCCCTAAACGGTGCATATCAGTCAAATGTTGGGCACATAAAGGGATACTTCACCTCTGGAAAGATGAATGTGTATTTAAAATGGGTCATTTATGTAGAAGAAATGTGAAATTATTTTTGAATTTGGAGCTTTCTAGATTGAGAAAAGCCAGAAAATGTATTTTTGGCTTATGTGGATGAAAGACAACAACTCCCACAATGCACTTGCTTCACTGCCCTAGGAGGCCACGCCTACCGGTTACAGAGCGCAGTCGTTAAACAACAAGTCTAGGCTACTAGTGAGTCTCCGTGATGAGTTTGCCCGAAAATGTGTTTCGAGTAGGGCTGGGTAATAAATATCGATTTCTCGATATTAATCGATTCTCATTTTTACAAACCGATATCGATTCTTAAATCTCAAGAATCGATTAGTCATCCTGTTTCATTTGAATGAATGAGACATTGTATCGCGGCTGCACGCATCCAACAAATCGCAATAATCTTTGTCCTGCTTTGTTACTATTGATATGAAACAAAGTCTCAATTTTCAAATTACGTTCATTTTCTTTAGAAATTCAAAAACATAAATAGCGTTTTGCCGTTTTGGCGCTGTGGCGTGAGATCGCTCTGGAGAAGCAGCAGCGCTGATCTCTCTTCCGGCTTAATAATACCAGTCACAGCGCCAAATAAACATGAATGAGCATCTGAAAGTGTGTTAAAGATAGAGTACAACTTATCCAAATCCGTATCATGTCACATTGATTCGCTCAATCAGCGTTTCAACCGTGGAAAGACGTCAGTTAAACAGCTTGTAATCAATGTCGTCATATTTACCTCAGAAAACCCACATAAACTCGTTAGTCCACACTCGTTAGTGTTCTTCAATATTTAATGCATATTTGAATAAATCTGGCAAGTTTTTATGACAGCCACCATTTAAATGTTTATATTTCATATAATCTTCTTATTATAAAAATAAATAAAAGTGTAATTTAAGTGTTTGTATAGCTACAAAACAGTTCATTATTACCTTCATATTAGGTTAATGAAGCCTAGTAGGCTACAACTAGACTATATATATAGACCATAGTTTACAGCATTTAAGAGATTTGATTCCCTTGAGAAAAATGGCCATTTATTGTAACTGATATCCAAAATAATCGATATTGAATGGAATCGAATCGTAATCGAAATCGAAATCGAATCGAATTTCAAGCTTGTGAATCGAAATCGAATCGAATTGTGAAATTTGTCGCAATACCCAGCCCTAGTTTCGAGTTCGGCCAATATGTCCGGGATTCATGTAAACACGACATTCAGATCCACCAATGGGAATGAATTCAGTTTAGATTGCACAACAGAAGCTGTGCATGTAAACAATGAATGGCGACTGCAGAAAGCAAAAGCTGAATCCCGGACATGGAAAAAGAGGATGGTAACCCCTAATACTCAGCGTTCTCCACAGAACAAGAGCCTGCTGGCTTAGCTAAAAAAAAAAATTAAAAAAAAGATGGCCGACACCATGTGTTCATTCTGTGAGTGAGATCGCCCTCTATGGGTGGGTTGAGGACATGCGGGACAGACCCTGACTGTAGTCTTTAGCCTCTGGACAATTATGCAAAATGACGATTTTTGCATCATCTGAGGATTTTGTCCAGACAAAAAAGTACATAAATCTCTCGTCTCAGGGGGATTTAAGGGTGGAAAGCACGGTAATTTGAAAAAAATACTACAGGTTTTCTACTAATACAAGCTTAATGCTAAATCCCAAAGTATCCCTTTAAGCCTGATAATAGTTTGAATAGAAAGATCAATCAATCAAATTTCAATCAAATTTCTTTATTCAGTCATGATGTTATTATAGACACAACAACAAAATAATAACATTCATTACTGAATAGGAGCATAAAGAAGACATAGTCTTATAAATTAATGCCCCTTTTTTCAATAATCTAAGCTTATACAGAACAGATGGCTCGCCATTTTTTTTTCGTTCCTTTTTATATATATATATTACTTCAGTATTACTTCACATCTCAGTAATTAACAATTACCAATTTAGAAAAAATAAATAAATAAAATAAAACATTGTTTCTTATGCTTCACTTCCTTCGTATTTTTCAAGTACAGATTTTTTGTACATTTTATTGAATTGAACAATCGTGTTACATGATTTTTTACCTCTATCCAAAGAGTTCCATAAACGAATTCCCGTTACAAGAAACCCCTTTTGTTTTTTTGAGGTACGTGAATATGGTCCACTAAAATTGCCTTTTCTTCTGTTGTTATTGTCTGTGATTAACATGAATTTATTTTTAATATGTGTTGGTACTAAGATCAATGTTTTAATGTCAGAGGCCCTACTATGCAATTTGCTGCAGATGCTGATGTTTATATGGACAATCTGGTGCTTGTAATGTAAATCAATGAGATCTTTATAACAGTTTAGCAGACACTTGCATAAAATGCCTTTGAATATCAATATGGGCTAATAATGTCTTATTAAGAT